TGAAAATTTGGAAGTGGGAAATGATTTTGCCAGAGAAAATTTAAATAAATATTTCTTTAAAAAGTTTTTATGATCCTTAGAATATATTTATAACAATATATCAATTTTCTTAAAACAAACAAGAATACAGACCTTTGAGATCTGGTCTATTTCGTATACCCACTGATACAAAGAAGCAATCCATATCAACATGCATTATACAGCTCTGATGTCTGGCTGAATTCAATACTGACATATTGCCTAGAAGGAAAAAAGAGAATGTTCAACCCCAAAACTAATCTTTAATATAAAAAAAAACAGGTCTAATTAAATTTTAGAAATTATATGTTTACATGTTTACATGTAGAATGAAATCTTAAAAAAAAAATAGGATCTGTTAGATTATTTCCATCACCTCAAGAGAAGTCAAAGTTGTTTCTTTAATTCTAAAAGTAATTCAGAGATCAGACTGAGCTTCCCAACAAATCAAAAAAATTCTGGATACATGTTTTCTTAATCTATATTCTAAAAATTATGTCTCAAAGTTTGTCTAAATACTTATCTTTAAATTATTTGTGTGCTATTTTATAAAGATGTCTAAATGTGTTTTCATAATTACATGGAGCTAAGTAACGTTAGGTGGACACTATTCTGCGTGGTCCACAAATATTCCCTGATAAAGCAACAATAAAAACTGCTACTATTGTGGAGTGCTTGGTAGGTTTCAGCCACTGATGTAGAGGTTTACATGTGAGAATTTCAACACTATGCAATAGGTAAGCCTATTATCCCCATTTTACAGACTGATAACTTACTGGTCATACAGTCAGTTAAGATATTAAGGTGGCATTCAATCCCAGGCTGCCTGATTTTAGACCTCTCAAACCACCACACTATTATTATAAACACATAATTTAATAGTCCACAAAGCAAAAATTTGTAACTCTCTTTATGCCATTAAATACTATTGAAAGTCAGCTCTGAAGCTTATATACCACTTCTAAGGAGATAAAGGTGAATGTCCCCGCCAAAGGACATCAGCTTCTAATCGTCCTGAGCTACAGGAAGAGTCAATGCCATCACTTTAATGCTAACCCAGACACAGGCATGGCTTTCCCCTTCATCACTCTCTCTGGTCCTCCAAGACACACAGTCTTGGAAATAAGAACGCCAAGCCTGTAAAAAGTTATGATCTCATAAAGGAATGTTCCTCTGGTAGATTTAAGAATACCATTACTAACCATTACTCGTAATAGGCTTCGAAAAACTTACATTATTCCCCCAAAAGGTTCAGACTTAAGACTACTCCATTCACTAAATTGTGACCATGAAAGCAAGGCCCTGCGCCTTTGTTCATGTCATCTTCCTTAAGCTCACAACCCCACCAGGCGACCGTCATAGACGATCACTCACTCCATTGTCAAGAGGAAACTGAGACTCAGAGGGCTGAATGGACTTGCCGATGGTCCTGCTTAATGAGAGTGGCAGAGCCAGGATTTGGGTTCAGGCTATGTTATCTAACTCCAAAGCCATGCACTTCCTTGCTGCCCTCTATATAACCTTGAGAAATGATTAATAAAATAAACCTTAACAATCATAATGATGCTGTATGAAAGTATTATATAAACATAATGTAAATAACTCAAAACAATGACTTTAAACATTCAAGTAGTACAGAATGCATATACCAAATATCTACTGAATGCTTTCATACAATATAATAATTTCTCATTTTATTTCCATTCATGAAACTGATGCATAAGAGTTCTTTGAAGTTTTCAAAATTAAATGGCCTTTAGGTTACAAGGCCAAGGCATGATGTCAGGATAATTTAATACTTATAACATTATTCTGAAATACTTCATGGATAACAAAAGCACTTAGGAATACATCAAACACAGGAAAACATAAAAGAAAAGGCCCACAAGGAGGGGCTCTATCACCTTCTAGGACAGAACCATGAGCATCTCTCTGCACCTCAGTTTCCACAGCTATAAATTAAAGGGTAATATTAGGTATTCTCTAAGATCCCTCCTCGGAAAAAAAAAAAACAACTATAATCTGTAAAAAGTAACTAAAACCTCAAACCAGATACTAATTTATGACTGACACAGAAATATAGCCTGTTACTATTGGTTTTGTTTTTGATGTCAAGTATTAAAAAACAAAATACAATTAACCAATCTATTTATATGTGAAAATACTTAATCTTGCTAAAAGTTTACCACTATAACAGCTATTATGTTATTTAATTATTTAAAAATCAGTATGATGCAAGTTTCTAGAAATTAATAGTTACCCTTACCAAACCAATGCATTCTTACAAGAGTTTAAGCACTGAATATAAACATGTTATATTTCACATAGTTTAAAACTTCAACAACTGATAAGGTCTACATGAGGAATGAATGTTTAGAATCCCAACCTTGTTACTGTTTAAATTGAAGAAATTTCAGTTAACCACACTTAAATCTAATTTTGTAAAAAATATTTTAATAAAGCAAGCTTTCTATACTGTCATACTTACTGTAACTTATATAACCTGGCACTGCTGAAGACATATTATGAAAGCTTAGTATTGGTCAGAATACCAATGAGAGCTGAAGAACAAAATGATCAAGCATGACTCTTTTTTAAGAAAACAATTTTAGTAAGTATCTACCTGTGTCAGTTACAACAAGTGCAGACCTGCCTGTTTTCATTTTTTTTAATTTTTCCCTTCCTGGAAAGATACCACCACTTTGTTTTTGTAGGGTACTGACAAACTCAGTCAATTCACACTTCCACATTGATATGTGATGCAGTCTTGACCGAGAATAGAAGTCTGAAATAAAACTGCAGCTGGAGGGTTTGGACGGTGCTGACGGTGTTGCCTTGCTGAGAGCAGGCACTGAAGAAGTGCTGTTTGTGCTTGAAGGGCCCTGAACGGTGGAGCGGTGAGCACCGTTTATTTTAGTGCTAGTGTGCAAAGAGGAGGAGAAGGAAGAGGAAGAGGAGGAGGAGGAGGAAGGATTAGTTCTGTGTGGGTCCCGCAAAGCATCTGTATTTCTGGTGCTTTGCTGCCACCGCTGCCCGCTGCAGTCTCTGAAGTCAGTGCTGCATTTCTCGACCTTCTCTTCCTCTTGGGCAGAGTCAAGGGAAAGCCTGCTGGCAACACTGCTGGCCACAGGTACCAAGCACTCCTGTGTCTGTAAGGCACCATTAGAGCTCTGAGTGTGTCCATTAAAAATGGCAGGGCTGTCTCTGCGAGGTGGAATTCCGTTTTGTTTCCCTCCTGGAAAGATCTGCTCCAGTTCAGCAAAACTAAAATCATTATTTGCATCTTCTTCATTCCAGCTGTTCATCCCATTGACTTTGACTTCATTTTCTGTCTCATTCTTCTTAATTATATGATTTCTAAAGCAAGAAAAAAATTGTTTTTAAATTAATGTCAGACTTTCAAGTTAAAACGATTTTTCATTTAAGTATTGTCTTAGTGATACACACTTTGATATTTCTCCCCTAAAAACTGAGAAGCCACGAATTTTATATCCTTTTACTCTTCCAACGAGATAATTCTTTGTTAAACCAAAGTAGCAAGATAATTAGGAAAATTCTAGAACATTAACAGCCTTTTAGTTTTTAAACCTTAAGATACTCCCAAAGAAATCCAATGGAATCTTTTTAATATTAAAGAAGAAAAAAAAAAAAAAAAGCAAAACTCTTCTATTTTCAATTACTTTCCCACTAAAAATTAATTGGAGTCTGTATGCTCCAAATACCCAGTTTATAGCAGTGTTGGGGACATACCAGGTAGTCAGTAAATATTTGCTGAATTAATCGAATGTGAATAACTCCCATTAAAATGGGTAAGAGACTTTATCTGAATTCTTAATCCTTTTAATTTTAGTTTCATGTAAGCTGCTGTCCAACACATTAACCCCAGCACTGCTATTACTGTGAGGCCAGTTAGTGTCTGCACTCAGGAAAAGACTGACAGACCACATTCACTAATCCAGCAAAAGGCCAGCTGCTACACAACTGGATAAAAGGAACCAGGGCTAATTCAGCAAAATTTATACCTAGAAAGATGTGAACACTGACCCTATTAATAAGGGAAATGGCATTCTGCTTCTAAGAAAAGCATATTTAGATGCCAAGAAGGTCCAAGGCAACCTGGACTGAATCTCCTGATGACAGGTTTATAAATGCAGGACCTAGGACAAATGTTATGCTAAACTCACATCCTGGCTCCTCTACATTATTTGCTTGGTACTGCTCTGTAATAAAGACATAATTTATTTGCATTCACAAGAATCATCTAAGTAGCAAAACAAACACCTGAATTATGGAGCATTAATTCATTCTGCTTAGAAATGCCCATAGCATCAATCCAATTCCATCTCATGCTCCAGATGAGGGTACTACATACAATGCCAAGGCACAGTATTACCAGGTTTGCCTCAAGTCCTTCATCCTAATACCAATGTGGTGTGTTAGTAACAACAGTCTGAACACACAAAAAGGCACACATGAGTCAGAGACAAAACATTACAACCCAGTTCTGGGTTGGCTATAGCTGACCATCTCATGGAATATGACAGCCACCTCTGAGTAAGTCCTATCCTCACAGATGATCAGTCATTTTAAGGGAAAAGAAGACCAACCAGAAATAATTAAAAGAAGAAACAAAAAAAAAAACCTAATTTGTTACATGCCAGGGCAAGTCTGGCTCTTGAGATAAAAAGAAAGCAAGGGAGCAAAAAGTCACATAAAAAAATTTCAAAGCAATTTTCAAAATCTATTAAACATACCAAAAACTAAAGATCAAAGAAAGCAACAAAGTGAAGTCAGTCAGAAAAGTCTTACATCTGTGTTTCTATGTCACAGATACAAGGATCCTTCACATGTATACCAGCAGCATACCCAATAAGGAATGCATATATTGGCAAGAAAACACACTGTAAATGTACATTCTTTCTTTACTATAGTTTTTTAGCCTAGACAAATGGATATTTACGAAGTAGCTGTACTAAAAATATATCACAGGCAAAGATACATTTATTAGGCAATAGTGTCAATGTGTTAAAAAGTAAAATCTAATTGGTAAATTCTTCCTAAAACTGACACAAAGAATTTCAAAAAACATAGACAATAGTCCCCCTTATCTTCAGTTTCCCTTTCCACAGTTTCAGTTACCCACCATCAGCTGTGGCCTGAAAATATTAAATGGAAAATTTCAGAAGTAAGAAATTCATAAGTTTTAAATTGCATGTCTTTCTGGGTAGACTCATTATCTAGGCATTTTATCATCTCACATAATCATAAGAAGGGTGACAGTACAGTAAAGCTTTTGTTTTTAAAACTTTTGGAACACTGACAGAATGGAAGTATACAAATGAAGGTATTTTGAGAGTGAGAGAGATACCTTATTCACTTAACTTTTGTTATTAATTCTACTTAATTATCAGTTATTGTTAATTTCTTACTGTGTCTAATTTATAAATTAAACTTTATCATAGGTGTGTATGTGTAGGAAAAAACAGAGTATACATAGAGTTCCATACTGTCCACTGGGGGGTCTTAGAACATACCCCTGATGAATAAGGGGGACTACTCTATTTTCCTTTATTAGTGTGGGTAAGAAAAAAAAAATGAAGTTGTACACTGAAAGCTTTTCTGGTATTACCTGTTGTACACCTTCACAGTACTATAAAAATTAAGTTTTAGGTAATGTGAAAACATGTGAATATGCTTCTAAGTGAATACAAGTTAAAGAACAAATGACAACAACGACTACAGAAGGTAGTAGTCTCGGATCCTCCCAGGTTAATTAGACCCTGGGTCTTTTGGAAAAAATATATCCAACTCCCAAAGCAAGCAATTTACAAATAATGAGAATGCTGATGATAATGAACCACCTGATATACAAGTGAAGGTAACACACCAATTAACTGTGAAACCAAGTTACCCAGGAGTATTGCAATTAAAGCTTAAATCAATATATTTTTTAAAAATCAGTTACATGGAAAAAAACTCTATTCTCCTCTAACTCTGCAATATTTAGGGCCAACTAAATTTTCACTGATATGAAATATTTACATGTTTAGAATCGTTATAAATGGGCAATTAAAAAAATAAACTAGAAATGTTAACATTTTCATTAACTGTCTTTTCTATGCATAGCACATTATAAAAGTACAGCTGGTGTAGTTAGTTCATTTTTTTTTTTTTTTTTTATAATACCTACAGCACCTGGTATTCCTAGGTGGTCTCCTATCCAAGTACTAACCAGGCCCAATCTTGCTTAGCTTCCAGGATCAGACAAGATCAGGCACATTCAGGGTGACATGACCGTAGACCAGTTAGTTCATTTTTTGAGAAAGCAACATCCTATAGCAAATTCCTTGTGTGGAAATAATTACTTTCAGGAAAATCCATGGAAAATTTTACTTATAATAATTTACAATCCATTAATTTAACAGGGGAATCTAAAACGACTGAGAAAGCTTTCCTGCTTATATTCTATTTATGAAACCATCACAATTGAAATAATTTTTAGGTAAGACACCCACACACCTATTTCGACATTTTATACAGATGAATAGCTAAGTTTTACATCTGTTATCTCTCTCTTCAGTAGACAAGGGGCCACACCCACTGCTAAAACCCAGTTTTGTAGCATTCCCTCTCTGGACAAACTTACACTCTGTTGTTGAGCTGTCTGGCTCTATTGCTTGGACCAGGCACAGGGTCCTCAGGTTTGCACACAGGATTGAAGGTGAGACCTTTCTGCACAGTGGACTGCTTGCTGTACAGCTGATAGGGAATGTAGGACAGGAGTCGTCCAGCTTTGATGCTGAAACAAAAAAGTAACACTGATTTAACAGTTCCATACTTGGGGAAAATGAGCTTCATAAGTCATCTGTTTTCCTAGTTTATTCCCCTCCTTCCGCCTTAGTGATCCTAATACAATGTACTCTTAACTTAAACACTCTGGAATGACATTCCACACACGAAAAGACACACACTGGACATGTTAGTGGTCAACAATCCTATGAGATTAAAAAAGCAACCAAGCAAAAAACTATAGAGTAGGATGAGAAAAACTACAAATAAAGAGTTAGACAAGTCAATATTTTAATCAACATGACTAATATTTACCACAGTTCTCCCTCAAAAAACTGACATAGAGTCATCAAGACTTTCTCAAATCCCGTATCACATAGTAAGTCTTCCCAGAATAAGTAAACTGGATGAGGATTCCCAATTTCCACAATTCCTGTTAGGTCTATTAAATGTGAAAAACTGTAAACTAAAAAAAATAGGACAAAATAAAGAACCTCAACTTTAAGAGTAATGAATAATTTATACTATTTTTATGTGTTAAAGAGTGATAGAGACAAGGCCACTTGAGGATATGAACTCTATGAAGGTAGAAGCTATATCATATATACCCTCTTCCAAATGTTTACTGTATAGCAAACATCACCAGTAAAGACTAGAGTGATATTAGCATTGTTATAATACTAGGTGGTACTGGCACTCCTAAGCACCTATTTCCTTTGTACTTCAGGACTAAAACTAACTTGATTAAGTGGTCTTAAAGTGATTTTTGCTTTCTAATAAATTAAGTTACATATGGTTATTGTACTGCTTAAAATATCATTTTCAACTCAAATTTTAAAACAGCCAACCATGATATACTTATGTTAAGATTCAAATTTTAAAACAGGCTCCTTTAGTATCAGGAAATATTTCTAAACCTCTCTCTGACTTTAAACTTAAAATATATACTAGGGAAGTCATACTTTAATTACTTAGAAAAAAATTAATAAACAGATAACTTTTCTTATTGTATCATAAATCCAGGAGTTTTGACATTTTAATTTTCTCAAAGGGCACTAAACATTAAAATAACCACGTAAGAAATGACTGAATTGGCTTACAAAAAAAAAATTTTAAATATAGTCAACTGTAAATACAGGAAAACATAGTGATGATATACTCTAAAAATAGAACTATACACTATATACACTATACACTACGTCCTTTATGTAATTATATTAGTATGTATTTAGTAATCCTACCTACAGTACCCTAAACTGGATCCAAATGCTAAAACTACTAAATTATGATGATAAAGAACATATTAGTGACAACATCTCAATTTTCATTTACATAAATTGATCTATCATCAGGGTAAGTTAGTTTTATGAAAATTACAAATTATATTCAAATTTTAAAATCAAACAGTTGGTCTCAACTGCCTGCCTATGATTTTTCCTTATAGTATAATCTACCTCACTTGCTCCCTCCTCACCACCTCCCACCTCTGGGGAGAGAGGCACCTCATACCTGAAGTGGAACCCTAACCTTAGCCTCCCACCTTTCATCATATGCAGCTATAACTAAGGAATAAGTAGAAAGTGAAACCACTCCTGATGTGCCAGCTGCACATCAGAAATAAGAAAAGGGTGATGAGGAGATGCTAGGGTCCTGCTTGCTTCTCCCACCCTAGTGACAGCACGTGGGAGTGACACAGACTTTAAAGGTGGTGTTGAAGGTCAATAATGATCATGCAAGGTGTAACATCTTGTCCCAATCCTAACAAGAGCCATGTCACTCAACAGAAGTTTTAGGCTTATATAACTAAGTCCATGGAGACTGGTATAAAATAAGAAAGCCAATTTAAATACTGCAGGTCTCAAATCAGACATCCTCAGAGACACCTAGTAAGAGGAATTAAAGCCCAATGCACACTACAGTAACATTAGACATGAAATTCTTTTAATTTGAAGCCCAAACCACTACATATCAGTTGTATACTCCTAATTATCCCTGCTTATCCATTTATCTAAACAGATACATGGACAGAAATATTATGCGAAAGTGTATTTTTGAAAGTTCTTCTTAAAAAAAAAAAAATCTCTCAGGAATTCTGTTTCTAATTCTCCTGCTTATCCTAAACACAAAGGGACTGTATCTGCATTTTCTTCTGTTCTTCTTCCCCCACCAAGAAAAAACAAATATCAAAATCCAAAATCCAAATTTCAAAACTAAAAGGAGCTTCACTTTACCAAAAACCAGTTTCTTTATATACCAAGCTTTCTATGTACTATATACACTGATATACATGAGAATTTACATTCTATACAATGGATTAGACACATTAATTTCAAGTGAAATATTCATCCCCTTGAGGAGTTTTAAGTTTTTGCTTTGCCCTACAGCCTACCCCCACTAAAGTTCTCTAAAATGAAACTGTAACTAACAGTTCTCTAAACCATTTCCTATTTCTACTAACTGACAATGAATTCACACTTACAGTTGTAACAAGATTTTGGAAAATTTTACAAAAATTATGACAACAAAATCATCACTACATTAATTTCTATTCCATTTTTTTCTTCTAGCTTGTAATAACAGCACTTTCTTTCTATGAAACTATTATGTACATTAAATGTATCTATGGTTCCGGTCAATGTCCCAGTCACTCTCTATTAGAAAAAATGGTATCTAACCCCGGCATATTCATCTGCCCACCCATTCAGGCATCTATCTCCTTTAATACTCAAAAGTGGATTTAAGGCGAGAAAGGATCTAATTATGTGCCATTATTCTACCATTAAGCAAAAATCATCTCTATGCAACAAAACTAAAATTCCCTCTACCCTATACCCTAAACCTTCCAACCACTCACTGAGATGCCATGAGCTTAGAAAAGAAAATAAACAGGTATGAAAATACGTACGCAACTTCCTGCCCTTTCTCCTACTGAGTCCAGATTGTTTCTTATTACAGATACTGAGAGTTAGGCTGTTCATTCTTTAGCTCCTAAAGACAGAATACATTTTCAAGTAAAATATTACCTATGAGTCATGGGGGGCAGGGTAGGATAGTCTGAAATGTGTGTTGGTTAGTTAGCCAAGTAAAAAGGAAACTAGAGTCATGAACATTTTCTATGAAGAATAAATTGAGGCAAGACACAAAAACACAAAGAAAATTAAATCATGAGATAAAGTTGCAATCAAGTTTTATTTAAATGAGTTGAATAAACACTTTAATATCGACACTAAAAGTAATCAGAAACAAAGTTTTAGCCCATGTGATGTATGAGATCCTTGGAGAATCAGGCAGGGTACATGACAAATGTGCTAACATATCATAGTCTGTGAGCTTCAAAAGAAAAAGTCTGTGAGCTTAGACTCTGCCTGAGACTAAGCACTCCACTGGAAGACCCCAGTGAGCCAGCAGAACTGGAAGAATGGAGACCATACCTCTCCACTCACAGCAGAACCACAGGACGCAGAACCACAGGACGCAGGTCCCCATGCTAAAGACTGAACACAGAATGAAGAACAAAAACTAACTCGACCTGTAATAACTTAGGACAATGTTTTCAAACTGTGCTCTGTGGCATTTCTCAGGCCTGACGAGGTCATGGGGTGATCACAGCAGCTCCTCAACTATTCTACAACTCAAATTTCAATGTGAAATTGTTTGAAGAAAAGGAGAATGGCAAAAATTTGAAATCACTAACTAATACTATATACAAGGACAGGATTTACAAGGTAGAGGTTTTAGTAAAATCATCTCATATCTTACACTAATGCACTGTACAGGCTTCTCATTAAAGGGCTTTCCTGCCTCCTAGCAGTTTTGGCCCTCCAATCACATGTACATTAACTCAGGTTTCATGGCATAGGCACAGACACTAGAGAATTCTAACCAAAGCAAAGTAATCACTGCACATGCTTAGAAGTGGTAGTTGCTTTTTAAATTGCTCAAACTAAAAACAAGAAAGCTAATTATAGAAGAGATCATGTATCATCCATTCATAGCTAATATAGTGTTTAAAATATTATGTATAAAATCTCATTTAAACACTGCTGAGAAGAGATTAAAAAGATTAAGGTTAGAGTATGAAAGAAAACAGTAATGTGATTTAACCAAAAGGATCTGTGCTATGAGAAGTAGACACTGGGCATATTACTTTATATACTAAGATATATGCCCAGATGGATCCATTTCCACATAGGCCAATTCTTCCTCAATAAGCTTAATTAAATGGCAAAGAGCAGACCCAAATAGGAGTCAGAAAATCTGGACTCTGAATCCTGCTGTTCTTGGGCAAACAGGCTGCTCTATTATTAGACCTGCCTTCTTATAGATAAAATGAAGGAAAGAGGCCATTTTATTATGTTATCTTAAGTTGCTTCCATCACTGAAAAACAGATGATTAAGCCCAACTTCAAGCTAAAATAAAATCCATTAACATGAATTTTAAAACTTATCACTACTGCAGTTGCTTTTCCTATTGTATTATTTCTCTAGCTGCATTCTGGACAAGAAGGAAGAACAAGGGGAAAGAAAAGAGCTGTAATGAAAGCCACCATTTTCTAAGCAAATCAGGTCCTACTAGGAAAAAGCCCTTTTCACTCCCACTTTTCTACTGTCCATGGATCTCCCCCTTTCCTTGCAAAAGCCAGACCAATATACCCAGGTCACATTTCTAGCCCTAGGCCTGGAATGTCCATGACCACACACAGCTGGCTCCAGAATGACCTTAACTTCTTATACACAGAAAATCTCACAAGTCTTCAAGGAGACACACGGCTTAGGCCATGTTTACTGATCCTATATAATGAATGGACAGTGGCAAGGTCATGAGAACACAGCACAAGGAGTCAAGCATATGTTCTACGAATGGGCATTCAACTTCGTATCCCCAAGGTTTAAAAACTCTTGATCTATAAAATCCATTTGGATTTCTGGAAGCCAAATGAACGTTTTAAAAATGCACTTCTGACCTTTTGGAATTTGTTTTTTAATACTTGCTAATGTTTATACAATAAAAACAAAAATAAACAAGTTACTTCTTATACATTATGCCTGTACAATGTGCCAAGCATTGTGCTAGTTTGCACATATTATTTCAAGTTCTTACATAACCATGGCAAGCAGATATTAGCCTTCTTTGACAAGGGAGGAAATGAGGTTCAGGATGGCTGCACAGCTCTTCCCCAAGTTACACAAGATGACAGGGACACTCCCACTCCTGAGTCTGGATGTAAGTCCCTAGGTGAGTCTCCAGAGACCAAGCACAGCCTTTCCCACTGCTCTGTTGCCTCCCACTGAAAACGGGCTGCTTCACCTGCTATGCAAAGGAACTGAGCAATACTAAATCTGCTGAATAAATTTATGGAAAGGGTCAGATTAGTGAAATTTAGGCTTTTAAGAGAACTTGGAATTGACTAAAAAATTTCGAAGTTTGTTTCATTAGCAATCCATTATACAATGTGACCATTCTTTCATACAATGATTATAATCTATTCATACATTAAAATTATGATATTTTCACTTTCAACTTTCAAAAATCTAGCCATCACTCATATGTATAACAAACCATTTCAAAATATAAATCACTTACATTATGGCTCATCACTGAAGTTCCAGATGACATTTAAACTTAGGAAATTAGTATGAATGGTTAGCACTGAGTTACAAATATATCAGCTTCAAACCAAGAGCAGAGGAGTCATGCTAGAATAACTAAAGGACAGGCAGTAATAACACCAGGAACCTCTCTCACTCCCAATGCTCTAGGCTCATGTTACCTTGATCTTTTATCCCTTAGCATGTATAACTTTTAACATGTGATATAATTTACTCATATATTAACCACACTGTTTATTATCTGTTTCCCTCAAGAGAATGTAAGCTCCAAGATAGAGGGGCAAGATGTGTTTTCTTCACTGATATTTCCAAAGTACATGGAGCACAAATATTTGCCAAATGAATTAATTTGCTTAATCAAGCCTCCTCCCATCACTGCTTCCTGCTGCTTGAATCATTCCAAGGGATGTCAAATCCTATACCACCTGAATCATCAGTGTGAGGTTACAGGTACGGTAGTATAGTTTAAGACATTACTACTTTTCGCCCTTAAGTTATTCCAATTTTTAAAACTTATTAAACATTAAATGTATTCCAATTTTTAAAACTTATTAAACATTAAACTTACCTTTCCACAATCCATTCTGGCCGAATTACTTTTTCCCCCTTTAATTCTTTAATTTTGGCTGTAGGAAGATTTGTGGCAATAATGTGAGTTGTTTTGGATCTGGAATAATATACATGGTATTGACCTCCATGCAACATCATTAGCTGTCTCAATTCCTCAGCAGAAGGATCTGTAAAATTAATATTAAAATATGTTAAGAGTTTTACATGTAAGAAAGCAGAGCCCTAGCTCAATAGTTCCTTAAGCCATTCAAAGAACATACCACTGGTTCACTTTCTCCTTGGCTGTGCTGCCAGTAAACAAAGTTAGGAGGTAACCCACAAGGTGATAAAGCTATTTTGCCTCAGCACATTCTCTTCCCCTAGCTGCTAAAGACAGTCAGCCAACAAAAACATCTACCGCTAAGAGGTGCCTAGAAGAACAAATAGAGGGACTGCAAGTAATGAATTGAATACTAGTAATAGAGCAAATATTTTTAAACTTTTGACCACATTTAGCTACATGATCTTGATATTGGTATCTTATGTGTTTAAAAATCAACAACTATAAAGTTATTTAGGGATCCGTTTACAGAGACTCCAATTAACACTACAACTCTTCAAAAACACAGCTGGTCCTCAATATCATTTCGTTATTACACTGATGAGATGCCACAGGAACTTAATTCTTGTTTATATCAATTAGCCTATGGTAAAACCAGTTTCTTACTTAAAGTCACAGAACCTATCAATGACATTAAGTGAGGACTGACTGTAATATAATAGCAATCAGATAAACTGCTCACACTTTCTATGAGCAGACTTGCTGTAGGGCTTATTAATATACTTTAGTCCTATGAAATAATTTTAAATTTTAAGAAAATATGTTAAAATAATCTTATTCAGTTTCCTAATAAGAATTTGTGTCAAAGCCAAGAAATAGTTCACCAATACAGAAAAAAAAAAAAATTGTAGACCAAGAAACACCATTTTAAAAAATTTTGTTTCAAACTCTTTTATTCTTAATAAAACTATAGAAACATATCTTAAAACAAGAACTGGTGTAGTTTATGCTTTCCCATAAAAAAAAATGTTTTACTTGCTAAAGTTATTATGTTATGACCTGCATTTACTAGTATCATCTAAACTAATTACTTTCAATAGCTTTCTATTTCTTTCACCTATTATCCTAATTAAAGCTCTAAATCATACCTTCCCTGGCAACAGCTGTACCCCAGGTGTGAGGGTGGGGGCTGTCACAGGAGGCTTATGTATCTACTTTGTTATTCAAGCACCAGATTTTCCTTAAGCCCAAGTAATACAAGTCCAAGTACTTAAATTAACAGTTTTATTATAATAACTATCTAGTTAGATGAGCTTTAGTCTTTAGAAGAAGAAAAAACTAACAAAACACATAGATATGCCAGGTTTGATTAATTCTTGGTAAATTCGTACAGTGTAAAATTCATCTGATGTTGCTGATCAAACATACTGGTGCTGCTCAGCAGAAATAAAATGCAAACCAAAAATGCAAGCCACATATATAATTTAAAGATTTCTAGTAACCTCACTAAAAACAGTAAAAAGGTGAAATTAGTTTAATAATATTTTTATATAACTCGAAAGGTTCAAACTATTACCATTTCAACCTGTAATCAATATTAAAAAAAAAAACAGGATATTTCATGTTCTTTTTTCAGACTACCTCTCCAGAATTCTGTGTGTAGTCTGCATTTATAGCACACATCATTTAGACTGGCTATATTTCATATGCAGACATGTGGCCAGTGGCTACCAAATTGGACAGTACACTAGAAAGAGAAATAATATCAACTTTTAAATAAAATTCTAATCATAATAGGAGGTTTTCAGGGCTTAGGGAGCACAAAATAAACCAGAAGCACCACGATGTTTTAATGTAAAATGGTGGGAAAACAGCTAGCCAGCCAGGAATCTGTAGTTTACTTACTTTCCCTAAGATTAAAGAATGTGGCTGACCTTATAACAGTAAAAAGTACCAAATTAAAGGCTAGATATAATGCAATAATATGGGCAGACACCAAATTCAATAAAAAGCACAGAAATGTAAAAAATTATGTAACAAGTTAATCTAATACTTTCCTAAACAAACTGTGACTATATTAGAGGACTGAGATAGGAAGGTGCGGGTCGCCAGGAACAGTGCCTTTTGCATGCACACTCATTAAGGCCCCTCCCCTCTCCCGGGCTGCTGTTTGAAAGCCAATTACTGCAGAAATTTGTAAGCGGAAAACTTGGAGAGTTCACTGTTCTTTTGTGGAGTGAATTTAAGGGGACTTTTTGAAGTTAAATTCTGAAAACTCTCAAATTTCTTCAGTTTGAAGTAGACCATGAAAACCAACCTATTAGAAGGTAAGATCACATAAACTACGGTGTCAGACTGACCTGGGTGTAATCTTGGCTTTAACAGTCTTTATTTAGCTGTGTGACTTTGAACTCCTTTGAGTGTTCTCCTCTTCCATTACAAATAAACAAATAAGGCTGTAATGATGAACTAAGTTTGAGATACAGGAAGCACTCAATGTTAAAACTGTTATTATTATAAAGTATGACATCAGAACTCCTTTCAAGTAATATATATGACTTGAGACTCCTGCTCTAGACTCTACCAAAATGGTAGAAGACAATACATATGCTGACATTTATGGTGGCCCTGTCACACAAAAGTAGAACTGCCAACAGTGCACTATGGACAGTGGTTAGGAACCACTCCATTAGCCCAAGCAGCCCAGCATACTTTTGGGAAATTCTATTTCTATCCCCCAAATCTTTACCAGTTAGTGTTATATCAGAACTGAAAGAGCTTTTAGGGATCTAACAATCATTTCATTTCCCACACTGGTATAAACAAGATCAATCAAGTTAAATTGACCGGACCAATTCAAATAGTAAATAAAATTAACATCCCTTAAACCCCATTACATTCTCACTGTATATTATTTTTAAATACATTAGAGTATAAAAAAGGTAACTAGATCCTACCAACCAAAATCATCACCACAGATTATCACTGACATTTTGGTGAAGATCCTTTAAGTAAAACAGTATCTCTGCGGTTCAGGAGATCCCAAAGAGACTTTACCAGGGGAAAAAAAAATAGCACTGGTTCTAAAAAAAAAAAAAAAAAATTTTTAAAAGGACATGTGCCAACTGAATTATTTCCTTAAAGTTCTATTAAATTTTTAAACAAGAAAGTTATTATTAATGCACTTAATAAAGTTTTGTATAAATAGCATCAATTTTAGGCAGATTACAGAAAGACAAATCACAGACTGGAGATATTAAGGTAACTTTCCAAAGTCACACATAGCTACTGGGACAGCCATAATCTGGGTCCAGGTTTGATCACAAATTCAGACTTGATCAAGCTTAACTCAATGGACCCTGGACAAAGAATCCTGGTTTCCAGTTGCAGGTTAACACTGAAAAGTCATGACATCTTGGGCAAGTGACTCATCTCACTTTTAGACTTTGTTTCCTCACTGACAAAGAGGCTAGACATTTAAGACTCCTCCTCACAAAGCTACCATACAATTCTACACACTAAAACCATTACCTCCAGTAAATAAAATTTGAAGACCATTTCACAAATTTATGAGGGAAAGCAAAGGTCACATCACACCCAATTTTACGAAAAAAGAAACTAAAGCAGAAAAATATGAAAAAAAAATAAGTACATATACATACATACAAATTAGCAAGACACTAGAAAAGGCAGGCAAACAAAACATATCTTGACTATCTAATAAACTATAATGTCTTGTACACATAACAGGTACAAAATTCAAACAGTTTAGTCACAGAACGGAAAGCACTTAAAGCAAATGTCTCTATTATGGCCAATATAAAACTTGTGGCAAAAGGGAAAACACAATGAGCTGAAGACCGTGAGTCCTAAGTTTGGTCTGGCTCTGCCATAATTAGCTAGGATGACATTAAGAAGTTTTCAAGTACCTCTGTGCTTTAGTGTGACAGAGGTCAAGGGATGTCTGTAGCACATAACTGCTAAAGTTCCTTCCAGACCTAAACTATTATAAATCTATTTAGCTTCCAGACAAATTATCTACTGCTGGCTCATATTCCATTACAAGTAGGTTCCATCACATCAAATACCATCACAGAAAACAAAATCAGTATTACAAAACCAACTCTATAGCCCATCAAAAACCCAGGAAGAGTAATGACGGCCTGGTTAAAACAAACATCTTTTATGATGTGTGTATTACTAGAACCCCTGCACAACTGAGTTTATCCTCTGTAATGGAAATTCTATATCTGATAATATTATATGCTAACAATATTTGTGAGTAAAAGACAAAGATTTAAGGGATCTTAACTTCTATTATTCCCTCAATTAGCAATATTATCAACATTATCACTTACATATATGTATGCACATATGTATGCTATCATCACATCCCAAATGGCCTACTCCTAAACACAAAAGATCTAAGACTTCTGAAGAAAAAGTGTAACTAATCTATTCATTTGCAGCTTCACTCTTGAGCCTAGTGGTGGTTTGAAACATAATACATGAGGAAGATGCTCAGAAAATCTCCACGACAAAGCAATTTGGCAGTCATTTTTACGAGCAATAATCCTAAATATTTGATATAGAAGTTTAAGATTAGTTGCCAGGTTCCTTAATTCATTATATTTAACAAAATATTTTTAAAGAGAGATACAATACTTGGCTCATCCTGTTAAGGAGTTAAGTGCCTCAATACATGTTTAGAAAATAAAATAACGGTCAAGTTTTACACATGACAGTAATAAAACTTGAAAAATATTTTTTTAACTTCTAAGCAGAGGCCTTTATGTGGGTCCATTCTAGTGAACAATATATATACATGTCAATCTTATTAAAACACCCACCTCTTTGTAAAGCAAAATAAAAACATTAATTTTATAACCATAGCAAGTAAAAAAAACTGAAGAAAGAAAATTAACATTACTTTAGCATCTTATCCAGTCAGGTACTCTACACACTTCACCTCACTTACCCTCACACTGGTGATTCCATTATGGAATCCAACAGTACAGCCTCAGCATCATTCTCTGTGAGATTATCAATTTCATTTCAATACTATGCTTATAAAACAAACAAAACCAAGCATTTTGGGGGATCATTTGGATAACCATTTCCTAACTAAGCACTGCCACATGATTTCAGTGCTCTGGTTTTATTATGAAGGTGCTGCAGCTCTTGTCACACACTGCTTTAGATGTCATGGACTAATGTGGGCTATATAAACAATAGCATATTATTCAGCCTTATAAAGGAAAGCAAACTACAATACACGCTACAACCTGGATGAACCCTTAACCCATGGTAAGGAGAACAGCTAGTCACACCGACAAACACTGTATAGATTCTACTTCTCTGTGGTATCTAGGGTAGTCAAAGTTATAGAAAAAGAAAGCAGAATGGTGGGTGCTAGGGGATGGAGGATGGAGAACAAGGGAGTTATTAATAGGTTTAGAATTTCAGTTTTGCAAGATGGAAAGGCTCTGGGGATTGGATGCAAAACAAGGTGAATACACTTAACAGTACTGAACTATATGCTTAAAAATGGTTATTAAAGTGGTAAATTTTATGTTACATAACATATTCCACACACAAAAGAATGGGAGTGTGGGGGTTGGCACCATGCCTACACTGTGAGCTGCAAGTTTCATTTCAGCCAGAGTATCACTCACATGTTAATATTAACTAGAATTTTATTGTCTTTGTAATTTCATCCACGTTTAATTTTCAATTCTGCAGAACCCATAATCATAAGAGCTTGATAAAACATTATTACGACTACCATTTTAGAGATGCTTGTGGAAATAGGTTAACATCTCACAGCTGTAAGAAGAGATGAGATTAGCTAATAAATCAAGAATAACTGGAATTAAATTAAAATCCAAGCCTTGATTCCTGATCCCAGGCTTATACTCTAACTTACTACCTCTCAATTAAAAAAAAAAAAAAAATCTATATTCTGTACTTTGGAAAAAAGTTTTCAGGGAAGAGATCAATAAAAATTTGCAACACTTGCAACAGTTAATAAACATTTCCACATTAATCCTAGAACCAGCACACATTCAATAAACTTTTCCAACTTTTTTAAAACTTTGATACTCTAATTGGAGACTGGGATTTACTAAATAAAAACTTACTAGAAATATTTCGACAAAGTGAAATGATGGTTTCTCATTCCAATCCTTTTTAAGCCATATCCTTAGCTCCTTCAGCATCCTGCATGAGGTTTTGTAAAGTAGGCCAATTTCAAATAAAAGAATTATAATGCAGCATTTTCAAGTTTTAATAAATCTAAAAGCAGGTTATATAACTATATCTTGAACATACACATATTCTCCTTTTCTAGGTACACTTATAAACATGCATCCTTTCTTGAAAAAACACAAGATCCATCCAAGAACACTGATCAACAAGAAAACTTTTCATCTGAAACTATATTTCTCAGTGAATAAGACTGTACAATTTAAGAAACTTAAACATCTTAGAAAGCTTTGCAAACCTGGACAATGGTGGTCACCCAGCAAACAAAACACTAAAGGAGCACTGACTGATTCAAGGGCAGTCTACTCCACCTAAAGAGAGGTGGCTGAGTGCAGCCTGACTATGTTCTCAGCCCTAGTCTACACAGCATTTCAATTCAGGACATAACACAGGTGGTTACATTTCTTGGGCAACAGAATGTGAAATGTTAACTTATGCAACAAAGCAATCTTGGTCAAAAAAATACCTCAATGAGAAAAAGCTAACTGAAAATTAAGGTTCTATCTTTTATTTTAAAACAACTGTACCATTTTAGGATATAGGAGAATTGGTACAATGGCAACACAGGAAAGAAGTCTCCAATGACTAAGCTAAATGAAAGTCTCTTCCTTTTAAAAAATTTAGCTCTACCTCTCCTTCTCTCTCAAAACAGCCACTTCAGATGATCACAAGTATGGGGGTCAGAACAAGGTGGGGACAGCTCTGCTCCAAATCACACAGGTCAGAGTACGCACAACTTACTGATTCCACTTTATGATTCATATATGCAAGACCTTGACCAACTTCATTAGAGAAGTACAGTAAAAATCAAGGATGAATCCTCTGCAGACCCCAGGCCAAGTTATATTGGCTAATAAGCATTTACTAATGTTCAGTCATGTACAAAACACCAAAGGAAACAAATTAAGAAACTGTTTTGCTTTAATGAAGACAGATGGAGACATTTAAACCAGGGATTTTCAATTTTTTTTTAATAGCAGAACTCTCATTTTAAATGAACTCTTACAAGAAATCCCCAAAATACCAAGCAAGTAAAAGTAGTATTATGTAAGACATCTTTACTATGAAAGCTCAATTTGTAATATATACTTATTACTATTTTGCATTTCAGCACAGTACTGAAAAAAATCCTGATTCATACACATTAGGACTATTAACATTTGCAACCATTTAAAAGAAGTTTTATTCCAAGTCTGTGTAAAAATTACTTAACTGGACAAGCAAAAGGTAAACAGCATGTTTGCACCTTTTTTTTTTTTAACCTGGTTTTAGCAAACTTAAAAATACTGTAATTTTAAGACTGTAAAACTTTTAAGGAACTCTAGTTGATAAACAAATCCAAAACAACCAGCAGCTTTAATCAGGCTTCCAATAGCACTTAAGACTTATGATATTGGAGAGGAAACTTATTTAATCATGACTGTATCCTCAGTACCCATATTTTCAAGCATCTCACTTAAGAATTTAGTAAGGATTCCACAAATGATTGTTAACACTAAATGTATAATATGATACATCAGAAAAAAAGTTTCCTTCCAATCCCAAGAGTCTATGAGTCTGTGATCACAGCAAGGGTTGGCCAAATCCAGCCCTTCTATAAATGACGTTTTATCAGAACATAGCTGAGCAGCTACAACAGTGTGCGTGGCCCATAAAGCTCTGGACTTGCACAGGAAGTATGCCAATTCCTGAGCTACAATACAGCCAGAATGCCACTTTAGGAAACCCAAAACAAAATATTTGTTTTAAATATTTCTAATCCACCATTTCAGATATTGCTCAGAGAAGATAGCACAGGTTATGCTGCATAACACATGGA